AAAGAGAGCGTGTGTGTGTGTGTGTGCCCCTTACCAACAAGAACTGGCAGATCAGCAGTATTTATTGAAGGCGCATGACTCTGCTGATGAGCTGCAGAAGGGCGAACCCGGCTGGGTGTTTGTGTCTTTAATCAAATGCTGCTGCTGCTGCTCAATTCAAGCCGGTTATTCCGATGGGCCTAGATGTTAAACGGTTTTAAATTCTACGTTAACGATGTAGATCGATCAGAGGTTGATTTGGAGTATGTAATAACACCTCGACATAAGACGTGCTATTCCCCCCCCCCCCCCCATCGACGGTGCTCTCTGCAATACAATAACAGCGACACTGCCGCGGTCATTCCTGGCAATTGTCGATCTGTCGCCCAGCACGCGATTCGGTCGCTATCCGCATGATCACGAGCGGGGACTTTTTCCAAGAAGGAGACACGAGGGTGTACATCTCAAAGGCAAGATAGACGGCTACAAATCCCCCATCCTGGCGGAATATAAAAAAAAATTAATCACATTTTTATGCTTATATAATTTCCTATAATTATCGCGTGAGTACGATGGTTGCCTGCCTTGTGGGATCAGTGACAATTGCAGTGCTACAGAATTCACGCAGAGCAACGCACTCTCACAACACACTACACACACACCACACGCACCACGCACACACACCACACACACCACACACACACCACACACACTACACACACACCACACACACCACGCACACACACCACACACACCACACACACCACACACACCACACACACACACTGCACACACACCACACACACCACACACACACTACACAAACATCACACACACCACACACACACACCACACATACCACACACACCACACACACACTACACATACACCACACACACCACACACACACACCACACATACCACACACACCACACACACCACACACACACTACACAAACATCACACACACCACACACACCACACATACCACACACACCACACACACACCACACACCACACACACACTACACACACACCACACACACCACACACACACACCACACATACCACACACCACACACACACCACACACACACACACCACGCACACACACCACACACACCACACACACACCACACACTTCACACACACCACACACACACACATCACACATCACACATACCACACATACCACACACACCACACACACCACACACACCACACACACACTACACAAACATGACACACACCACACATACCACACACACACACACCACACATACCACACACACATCACACATCACACATACCACACACAACGCACACACCACACACACCACATCACACACCACACACACCACACACACCCACACCACACACACCACACACATCACACACCACACACACGCACCACACACACCACACACACCACACACGCCACACACACACCACACACACCACACACACGCACCACACACACCACACACAGCACACACGCCACACACACACCACACACACACCACACACACAACACACACATACCACTCTCACAACACACACACAACACTCACACACCACACACACAACACACACATCACACTCTCACAACACACACCACACACACCACACACACACCACACCACACACACACCACACACACCACACACACCACACACACACCACACACACCACACACACACCACACACACCACACTCACACACTGCACTCTCACAACACACACAACACACACACCACACACACCCCACACACACCACACACACACACCACACACACACCACACACACCACACACACAACACACACACCACACACACACCACACACACCACACACACAACACACCACACACACCACACAACACACACACACACACAACACACACCACACACAACACACACACCACACACCCCACTTTTACAACACACACACACACCGCACTCTCACAACACACACACCACACACACACCACATACACACACCACACACACACACACCCCACTTTCACAACACACACACACCACACACACACACCCCACTTTCATAACACACACACCGCACTCTCACAACACACACACCACACACACCACACACACCACACACACACACTGCACTCTCACAACACACACACAACACACACAACACACACACCACACACACCACACACACCACACACACACACTGCACTCTCACAACACACACACAACACACACACCACACACACCACACACACATCACACTCTCACAACACACACACCCCACTCTCACAACACACACACACTGCACTCTCAAAACACACACAACATGCACACACTCCACTCTTCCAACACACACACACACACACCATACACACACACACACACCACACACACACCCCACTCTCAAAACACACACACACCACACTCTCACAACACACACACAACACACACACTGCACTCTCACAACACACACACAACACACACAAACAACACACACACCACACACACACCATACACACCATACACACACCCCACTCTCAAAACACACACTCACGCCACACTCTCACAACACACACACCACACACACTGCACTCTCACAACACACACACAACACACACAAACAGCACACACAACACACACAAAAAACACACACAACACACACACAACACACACACACCTCGATGTGTAAACTATCAACGTGCCTGCACAAGGAGTTTACCAATCCCGCATTGTCACGGTGGCAATAAATAAACATTCCCTGGATATGACGAGTAAACGAACGGTGACGATTTGTAGCGAAATGACATTTCAAGAGATGCGTCTCTCTGGTGAGGTTTTTATTTTTAATGTTGCTTACCAGGTAAGGCCCACTGACCCGGATAGCAATTTTTTTTCAGAAGCCACCTGCCTCTTACAGATTATACCGCAATACGGCGGGGCAATCGCCTTCTAGAGAGTGGAAATTACCCGATGGTTCCTAAAAAAAAAAAATTCGTAATAATGAAGATTTACAGAGCCTAAAAGGCTCACTTGCACGAGAGCCTTGCTGCAATATCTGTCCAAAGAATCGCGTTGACGCCACCGTTTTGTGTCTCGCGTGACACGAACGGCGTAAGAGGTGAGGCCACGGCGAGAGGGGATGCACCGTCACCCACGCATCATTCGCGGGAATTGAGAGACTCGACAGTGAAAACCAAACGACGGCCCACGTACTGCAGGAAACCCACAGAGACGTCTACAAACCCATAGACGCCCATAGAGACCCGGTCAAACGTCGAGATTCAAAGGCTCCATAAAGACTCACAGAGGCACATAGAGTTGAACAGATACGCGTAGAGATCCCTTTTAAAGACAAGCCACGGAAGCGTGATTGTGGCCGTGCAGCCCAAAGTTTGGGAAATATTAGCAAACCACTGTAGTTTGCGCTCCATCAACGGAGGAGTAGGAACAGCAAAACTACACGAACTTCTGACGGCCTCTCGGCGTGGCCAGCAGACCTCGAAATGAGCATTTAGCTGCCGAACGTTTTGCTGTCGTCACGCGCAATAATAGAACGCCAACATTGATGTTTGACCGATTACATTAACGAGTGTTTTTTGCGCGATGCGAGGGGAGCGAATACAGAGTGCCCGGAGAAAGCACCACCGGCACCGTCACGCAATCGAGCGGCTTGAGAACTGCGCATTAACTCATCGGGCACGGCACTCTATAAAAACTATTTTTTTGTTATTTGACCAGGTAAGGCCCGCTGAGCAATATATAGCTCTTTTTCAGAAGCGATCTGGCCACAACGAATGATAGCTCGACAAAGTGGCGTATCGCCGTGTGTACATCTATAGCCGCCAAATACTCTAAACGCGTGACGTTGATTCTTAAAGTTAAAGGGGGGGGGGGGGGGGGGGGGGGGACCGGAGGACCCGGATACAAATCCACGCGACCACGGGGAGAAAATTCAAACTCCAAATATCGAACCCACGACCTCCTGTATACCAGGCGAGGCAGATAACATCTCGCCACGGGGACGAACAGTCTTCCGTCACCATCGTCCGAGCGCGTGACCCGTAACGTTGAACCCGAATCAGCCGCGAGCCGATGTGCACGGGATGCGTCCGCTGGAGCGAAAATTAAAATGCAGAAGAGAATTTAACGGAGATGATGATGACGACGATCATGATACGGCTGACGTGATCGAGATCTGGCGATGCGCGCTGACAGCATCACGGCGCTGCTGCTGCTGCTGCTGCCTCATCTCTGCGAGGTTCTCGTCAAGGTTGAACTTCTTTCGCACCGTACGTAGCCAACCCTAGCTAATCGTAAAGGTGCGGGGGAAGGACAAAAATGTGTCAGCCTGCGTCTTCCCGTAGAGCTGCTCACCTCGCTGTGTCTATCTGACGAGGAGCTTGTCTCGCTGTGGATCAGCCTCCTAGAGGGTAGCCCCCCCCCCCAGCCCCCAGCCCCCCCCCCCTCGTGTTCCCACCACCTCCAGCTTTCATCATCTCCACGCGAACCCACGCCGCTGGTCTGGGGAACAATTTCCCTTTCCTCGTTCGTGGACATAATATCCTCCCCGCGTAGCGGCACCACAAACGCTGTTTACATTTCCTATCTTAATGCTTCCTTTAACGGCCCCCCTCTTATTACACCAAGTGGGTCCCGTTTATTGCGAGCCGTAGCGACGTCTTGGCGGGCACGAACGCCCGTCGACAATTATTTACGACGAAATCGCCTACCGCCTCGCGTCGCATTTATCCTTCGATGACACCGCCAGTCCAGGCAGTGGCCCCTCTTTGTTGTTGTTGTTGTTGCAGTTGTTGTTGTTGTTGTTGTTGCGCCTCCACGTCCGGCGTCGTCGGCGCTTCGCTGACGCGCGGAAGGGCGACCCCGCATCGGAGCCTCGCGCAGGAGCTCAACGCGGACGCGAGCGGAGCGCAGCGCGCGCCCGTCATGAACTGAAAACTCGCCGTTCGCAGTGGTGACCCGGAGCCACCACCCCCCCCCCCCTCTCTCACCCCACCGCTTCACTCACCTGTGCAGAGGTGCCCGTTCGCTTCGGAGGACCCGGTGGCTCTGTTCGGAGCGGCAAGCACGAGGACGAGCAGAAGGAGCGGAGGCCGCGGCGCGGGTCGCATCACCATGCTGCTGCTGCTCCTTCTTCTTCTTCTTTAGCAGCAGCAGCGGCAGCAGCGGCAGCCAGCCGCGCCTCGCTCATCCGCGCCTCGGAAGAATGAGAACTCTCGCGCGTCGCTTCCCATCAATAGTCCGCGCCCTGGGGGCGCCCGGCGCGATCCGTCCCGCGGGGAGACATGGCCCGGGGGTTCGCGGGAGGGGGCGGGGGGTGGTGGCGAGGAGGTGAAGTCACAGCTCACAGCAGAGGAGGCGAGCCGAGGATGGCACGGGTCGCGCAATCTGCCTCGACTCTCGACGCGCAACTCATCCCCGGCGGCTACTGGCGCGGTGCGGCTCACTTGTGCGCAACCCTCATCACGCGCGTGGGACCCCCCATCTTCTTCCCCCGAGAGCCCCCCCCCCCCCGCCCCGCCACCTCCTTCCTCGATCCGCGGCCCGGCACGGCAAACACGACGAGGATGCGGTGCGATGGTGACCAGCGCACCCAGTTCGATCCCAGGCGATGGAGGCACCCGGGACAGGCGTGAGAGAGAGAGAGTGTGTGTGTGTGTGCGCACCCACAGCTGAGTGAGAGTGTGTGTGTGTGTGCACCCACAGCTGATTGAGAGAGACCCAGCACAGCTGAGTGAGAAAGACCCAGCACAGGTGAGAGAGAGACCCAGCACAGCTGATTGAGAGAGACCCAGCACAGCTGAGTGAGAGAGACCCAGCACAGGTGAGAGAGAGACCCAGCACAGGTGAGAGAGAGAAACCCAGCACAGGTGAAAGAGTGTGTGTGTGTGTGTGTGCGCACCCACAGCTGAGAGAGAGAGAGACCCAGCACAGGTGAGAGAGAGAGACCCAGCACAGGTGAGAGAGAGAAAGACCCAGCACAGGTGAGTGAGAGAGACCCAGCACAGGTGAGTGAGAGAGACCCAGCACAGGTGAGAGAGAGACCCAGCACAGGTGAGAGAGAGAGAGAGACCCAGCACAGGTGAGAGAGAGAGGCCCAGCACAGGTGAGTTTGCCGGCCTTGCCTCTGCACCGCTGGGGTCGCTGTGGCTGCGCGCGACGCGGCGCGCTCGGGGTCGCGATCCGGGGCTCGGCCACTTGTAAGGGAGCGCCGAGGCCGCGGGCGCGTTTGAAGTTCGTCGGTGTCGTCATTGCGCCTTCGTACGAGAGGGGGTGGAGGAGGAGGGCGGTGGTGGTGGGAGGGGAGCGGCGGCGGCGGGGGGGGCCGTTGTGGCTGTGTCAGGGGGAGATGTCTCATCGATAAGAGTGGGGCGCGGGACTCCCGGCACCGGAGCAAGAGAGAGAGAGCGAGGGAGGGGCCACGGGGCCGTGCCCCCGCGTCGCGTCGCATTTCGCGAACACTCGGCGGTCTTCACTCGAGCGCGACCCGAACGTGAGCAGAGGGTTAACTTAGCGGGTCGCGAGGGGGGTGCGAGCGACACGTCCAGGTGACTTGGCGCGAGCGATCACGAGTGGGCGACCTGGCGCTTGTCGGTGGCTTCACGTGAATTGGGGGCGCGCGTAGGTGGCTTGACACGCGCAGGTGATTGACAGCGCGTCGCATAAGACGACACTCTCGTGTCAAAAGCCAAGAGAAAGTGCAACCAGACGTACGAGTTCACGTCTCCTTTTTATAAATGCGCAAAAAATCATCACCGCATCCAGGCTTGCAGCCTGGATGCGGTGCAGCCTGGATGCGTGGTGGTTAAGCAGCTCGATGCGCTGCGAACCCGGCCACCCGAGATCAAATCCGGCTCACGGGCAACTCCGGTGACGATTATCTGAACCGGTCCTGGGCCTTTCTAAGGTCAACTCAGTCTCAAGCGAGTACCTCGTGCGATGTGTAAATATCGACAAAAAGGAGAGACAAAGGCGTGGCCGGGCGTTGTGCTGGCCACTCACCCCATCGCGTGCCGTGCCGGCCTTAATTGGTGCTCGCTAAGAGCCCTTGCCCCAAACAGCCCGTGAACCTGCACACCGATATGTGTGCCCGTGTTGTGTGCACCGAGCGCACCTGTGTACACGCGCGGCTGCGAATGACGCAGACGAATTGAACCTCCAGCCTTGGCACAAAAGGCCCAGTGGAGGCATTTCAATTAACCTCTGCCTATCGCCCAAAGGCCGGGGCGGGGGTGGGAGTGGGGAGGGAGGGGTGAGCCGCTCGCCACACGTGATTGTTTCTCACTGCCTAATGGCTATAATCAGGGGTGGGGGGCTCATTCATCTGCACGGGGGTGGGAGGTGCCACCGGGGGATGCCAGATGTGCGCCGGAGTATTGCCACGCGGGAGAGTGTCCGGACTTGGTGTGCCGCTGTCGCCGGCTAAGCGGGACTGATATTGCCAGGTGCGCACAGAGCTCGTGCGGAGGAATCTGAAAATACCCGCAGCTGTAAATGGTCACCGCAGCAGCCGCGTAATCTATTGTCACGTGGAGCAATTATTTCCTCAAGTGTATAAAATTCACAGCGCTCACACACGCAACACGTGCACACATAGATACATACACACATTATTAGCAGCAGAATAACACGTTGTGTTTTTGTCACAGAAATGGGCACATGCCAAGAGTGAAGAGTCATTATGAGCGGGCTGCTCGGTAATTATACTCGTCTCGTCTGTGTGATATGGCACTTGTCATTGCATGGGTGTTTGCAAATGTATCGTTCGAACCCAAAGCTAAAACATTGCTCATGTAACGATCGTCTTCATATGTCGTGCGGATACGAATTGAGTAGTGGCTACATACATTGTGGTCTTAAGTTGTGAATCAAAGTCCTGGCTTCAGAGGACACTGAGAGTGAATCCCGATCGTGCCGTCGAAGAATGCTCTCAGTGGACACGAGCTTACAAAGAGACCCATAGACTCACACAGAGACCCATATACTCACACAGAGACCCATAGACTCACACATAGACCCATAGACTCACACAGAGACCGATATACTCAAACAGAGACCCATAGACTCACACATAGACTCACACAGAGACCGATAGACTCACACAGAGACCCATAGACCCATAGACTCACACATAGACCCATGGACTCACACAGAGATCCATAGACTCACACAGAGACCAATATACTTACACAGAGGCCCACAGACTCATTCAGAGACCCATAGACTCACACAGACCCACAGAGTCAAACAGAGAAGCAAAGACTCACACCACACAGAGAACCAGAGACTCACACAGAGAACCATAGTCTCGCACAGACGAATAGACTCACACAGAGAACTTTATGCTCACATAGAGACACATAGACTCACACAGAGACCCATAAACTCATACAGAGTCCCGTAGACTAACACATAGACCTATATATTCACACAGAGACCCATAGACTCACACGTAGACCCATAAACTCACACATAGACCCATAGACTCACACAGAGAACCATAGACTCACACTGAGACCCATAGACTCACTTAGAGACCAATAGACTCACACAGAGACACATAGACTCACACAGAGACCCATAGACTCACACAGATAAGCATAGACTCACACAGATACCCATATACTCACACAGAGACCCATAGACGCACACAGAAGCATAGACTCACAGAGAGACCCATAGACTCATAAATAGACCCATAGACTCACACGGAGACCCATAGACTCACACATAGATCCATAGACTCACACATAGACCCGTAGACTCACACAGAGAACCATAGACTCACACACAGACAATTGACTCACGCACAGACCCATTGACTCACACAGAGACCCATAGACTCACAGGGAATCACAGAGTCAACAGAGAATAATAGACACCACACAAAGGACCATAAATTAACATAGAGAACCATAGACTAAAATTTCGATTTAAAGCTTTCGTGACTACAGGTATTCATATTCAAGTCCACGCTGCGGCTTCGATCCTTGCGGAGATCCGTCCCACGGTCTCGCCGGTCAAGGAGGGAGTGGGGGTGCCGCTCGTGGACGACGACTCCGCCGCCATTTCGCAGCAGGCAGGAGAGTGTCAGCCCAGGGACAGGGTTGCCCTTGGCCATGGCACTCTGGATGACCCCGTAGGCACGTGATCCGGAGTGTCCATAGAGAGGCCCCCAGGTGGGGGGGGGGGGGCTATGGGGTGATCACGTGTCCGTGGAGAGCTCTTGAGAGGGATCGAGAGGGAGCTGGAACACTCGCGAAGGTGGGCGGGGCCGAGGGCGGAGCCGGCCCCGACCCGGGAGGATATAAGGTGGGTCCCTGGGAGGGACCAGGGTCACTTCGTTCTACAAGCTGGAAGCTCCACGTCCTACGTCTGAAGAGGCACAAACACATGGCCCAGGACCGAAGTGAGGTTCCGGTCTATCGTAGCCGTAAGTCCTGTATGGTAGTGTAGTTTTCTGGGTGGTCACCACCCTAGGCTGTATCTGGTAAAGGGCCAGTTACCCCTTTTGTATATACGTGTTGTATAATAAATGTGTTGCCTCAGCGCACAACCCGCCAAACTTGAAGATGCGCCGTCAGCGCCGATGGACATCCCGGCTCTCCGCCGTCGCCTTCCTTTTATTGAAAAGTTTGCGGATACCAGTGGCGACTGGGTAGCCTTCAAGTGGCGGTTCCTCACGAACGCCGACTTGGCTGGATGGACGGAGGCAGAGGCACTGCGGGCGTTGCCTGCCGCCCTCGACGACGATGCCCTTCAGCGTTTTTCACCATCCCGCCGCTGGAGAGGTCCACCCTTACTCAGGCTTTCGACCAGATGGCGTCAATCGATGAGCCTCCAGCAAATACGCGCCACACTTTCGTCACGCGACAGAAGGGTGAAACCGAGTCAGCCCTCGCCTTCCGTAGCACACTTTTGGCGCTGGCAAAACCCGCCTTCCCAAAAATGGACCACGATGGTATCGAAGCGTTGGTCCTCGAGAAACTGCTGGCCTTGGCGAAAGTCCTCCACACCATTCTTCCAGCCGAAGATGATGAAATTTCGTCCCTCAAAATCGCTAAGTGCGTCCAGGCCCAGAAACTTCTACAACGGGACAGGGCTCAGGTGACGTGTGCCGCGTCCTGAATGGCGCCGGGGGCACCTGATGGAGCGGTGCCCGTTCCCGCATGTGCGTCGACTCGGGGTGGAGGCGACCGGTATGACGGTGTGGCGCGGCGGACAGACGAGCAGCGGTGGCCAAGGTCGTCGTCTCGTTCCGGAGGCGGTCGTGTCATTTGCTTCAATTGCGGCCTGCCAGGGCACGTGTCATCGGGCTGCCGCGTACCATGACGGTGCGTCCCAGCACCACTGCCATCGTACGCTTCCCTACACCCTAAGGCGAGTTGTGACTCACTCCACACTCGACCCCTGGCTTCACCTCACCCATCTAGGCGGTTCGGTTCGCGTCCTGGTTGCGCATCGGTACGGGGGGGTCCTAT